GTCGCAGTGAATCTCGGGAAGAGGGGTGCAGGGCCCTAACTCCCACACAATCCGCAAGGGGGGGTCAGGTCGGCGGGGTCATATATTGAGCACCATGAGGGCGCCAGTCCAGGGGACTCCAAAGCTGACCCGATGGGAGCTGCTGAGGGAAAAAGTTTCCGATGACCGTGCACGTGGCGTGTGCACACCTGACTGGAATGGACGTGAACACCAGTTACAAGAAGGTGAGTAACCGTCTTTTCATGCGTCTGACGAAGTGGGCATTCACCCACAAAAGCTTATGCTCCAATACATCTGTTAGTCTTAAAGGTGCCACAGGACCCTCCGTTGCTTTTTACATATCCAGACTAACATGGCTAACCCTCTGATACTTGTCGTCTTTTCTTATGTGTCACTGAGCGTCTTGGCTAACAGCCAGCGCTGGACCCAGCCTCCAGTAACTCATCGAGTTCTTTTTTGAGCCCTGGTATAGTTTTGGCCTTCACAGCATCCCCTGGCAAGGAGTTCCACAGGTTCCACTGCCGCAAGGGGAAAGACCCCTCTGCTCCCTAACCTCCCCTCCAAAGCTCCGCTGAAGACCCATCTACTCCCCAACCTCCCCCCAGAACCCTCACCCCTCTCCTGCAGTCTCCCCTACCTTCCTCCCAGAGGCCCTCCCCCTCCAATAAATGAGCTCAGGCACACGAGGAGGGTTCAAGCTGATTTATGGCAGCAGCAGCACACCCTGGGCACCAGAGCGAAGCTGTGGAGGGGCTGCTGGGCCGTGGTACTGCCAGTGGCAGGGAGCCCGGGCACTGCTCCTCTGCGCGTGCTGCAGGGCCAGGCACAGCAGAGGGGATGATAGAGCCCAGGGCCAAGACAGAGACAACAGACGGGCCCAGGGGCAGTTTCAGGAGGGGCGGGAGGGGTTTCAAAGCCTCGTGCCAGCAGGGCTGGGTTGGAGGAGAGACAGCAAGTTTCACTTCACCTCCAACACTCTACATGCACCCACCTCTAGGGTGAGCACTGGTGGCTGTTTAACAGCCCCCACAAACGCTACACGGCAGGGTCGTGCTGCGTTTAACACACTACAGGAGCTATGGGGCACTGAACAGGACTTAGCCCAGCCAGCGGGGTTAACCCCCTACTCCAGGACTGTGTCTAATTAGGTCTATTGGTACTATGGTAAAGGACACCAGACACCAGACGCTGAGGACCCCACCCAACAGCAGCAGAGGAAGGGAAAGGTCATGCACTTTTCCCGACAGCAGGAGAACGCCACCTCTCGGGCCATCCAGGGGGGTCTGTGCTGCTTGCCGGGGTCCCTGGTTTTCTAAACTAACTGCCCTGCAGGAGGGGCCCCTGCCCTGAGTGACAAGCATTTCCAAGGGACCCCCCCACCCCCAGCCTCAAACACTCCATGACCTGAGAACCTTCTCGGCAGGCTGGGGCAGCAGGGGCTGTAGCCTGTGCCCAAAGGGGCATGTCACCCCCTCTTGGAGAGGGGCTCCCCTGAGCCAGGCCATGCCAGCTCCAAGTCTCCTCCCGGCAGCTCTGCAGGGGGCAGTATCTGGGACTGAGAGCCAGGGGCCATGCAGGGACAATCCAGCCCGTGAGGGGCTCCTGTGGGGAGCCTGCATCCTGCAGCTTCCTTGTCCTGGGGGAGCTGAGCCCAGCAGCTGTTCCCATGTCAGGCCAGCGGGCCCTGCCTGTCCCCAGCTGGGTGGTCACTGAGCTGGCACCCCCTCTAGGCAGCTGAGGGGATGAGGCCAAAACTAAATCTGTTCAGATCATGGTATTAGCTCTTAGTTAGCACTTTCCAGCTGTAGGGCTCACCGTGCTTTACAGGGGAGGGCAGTGTGGCGGTCCCCATTTTACAGGCACAGAGCAAGGTCTTGCCCAAGGTCATGCAGCAGGCCCGTGGCAGACCCAGGTCTCCTGAGTCCCAGTCAGGTGCTCTGTGTTCTCGGACACACTGCCTCTCACACCACCAGCCCCATTCAGTGCCGCCTGCTCTCCGAGCTTGGGACCTGCTCTCCGAGCTTGGGACCTGCTCTCCGAGCTTGGGGCCTGCTCAGAAGCTGTGCAATGGCCGAGTAGCGACGGGGCTTTGGCACAGACATGGGGCTGTGCCGAGATGGAGGTGAGACTATGGCCCCGGGGATGCTACAGGGGCCTGGAAAGCAGAGTGGTGACAGCTGCGCCTGCCCCAGACACCCCAGGGCACGTCCCAGCTGCTGTACAGTGGCCCAGGGTCTGTGCCCCAGCGAGAGCTCTCTGCAGCCCGAGTTCAGGGGAGGAAAGGAGCCAGGTGGGCCCCACGGCAGCAGGGATTCGTTTGCTCCTGGCTTGGAATGAAGGATGGCACCTCCTCAGCTACTGTCCCCCCCCCCCACTCTGCACCTCCTCAGCTACTCGTCCCCCCTCCCCCAACTCAGGGCCTGCCAGGGGGGACCCAGCTCTGCACCTCCTCAGCTACTGTCCCCCCCCCAACTCAGGGCCTGCCGGGGGGGACCCAGCTCTGCACCTCCTCAGCTACTGTCCCCCCCCCAACTCAGGG